GTTTGGCTACATTTATCCAATTAAAGAAAGAAATAGAAGCGTTGGATAAATTCAAAATATTTAAAGCGTAAATTGAAAATCAAAGATGATTTAAAGATTAAGATAGTCGTCCGACCGTGGGGGAGAGTACTACGGTCGGCATACCCCATATGGACAAGTTTCTGGACCTTTTGCAAGGTTCTTATAGAAGAATGGTATAGTTGCCCAGTATTCAACACCGGGTGAACCTCAGCAGAATGGAGTAGCTGAAAGGCGTAACCGTACCCTGATGGATATGGTGCTTAGTATGATAAGTTACTCCACTTTACCGATGAGTCTGTGGATGGAGGCGTTAAAAACCGCCATTCATATTCTCAATAGAGTATCAAGTAAGTCGATGCCCAAAACACCGTATGAGTTGTGGATAGGAAGAGTACCCTCACTTAACCACTTGCGTGTGGGGGGGAGCCCTGCTGAGGCTAAAGTTTTTAACCCAAATATTGGGAAGCTAGATCCCAAAACAGTGAGTTGCCATTTCATTGGCTACCCAGAAAAGTCAAAAGGTTTTCGTTTCTACTGTCCTAACAGACTTACAAAGTTTGTGGAAACGAGACACGCTGTCTTCCTAGAGGATGAAATGATTAGGGAGAGCATGGTAGCTCGAGAAATTAATCTTGAAGAGAAGCGGGTGTATGCACCCACTCCAATAATTCATGAGCCATTTTTCTCACTACCTGCTGTTGCTGCACCGACAGTACAAGACACTGTGGTGCCAGCACTTGTTGTTATCCCACCTGTGGCAACAATGAATGATGATGAGGAACTTGTTCCTCAGGATCCTATAGAACCTATTGCCACACATGAGGGGGAGCAACAACAGCCTCAAACAGAAAATATGCCAAATGAGGAGGCCCCTAGAAGGTCTCAAAGAGTTAGAAATCAGCTATTCCTGCTGATTATGAAGTGTACAACACTGAGAAATTTCAAATGGAGGATGATCCCACCTCATTTGAAGAAGCCATGAAAAATGATCATTCATCAAAGTGGCTTGAGACCATGGAAGATGAAATGAGATTAATGAATGCAAATAAAGTTTGAGATTTGGAGATAATTTCTAAAGGAGCCAAAACAGTAGGCTGTAAATGGGTCTACAAAACAAAACTTGACTCTCAAGGGAATATAGAGAGAAATAAAGCCCGACTTGTGGCAAAAGGCTTTACACAAAGAGAAGGGATTGATTACAATGAGACCTTTTCTCCAGTCTCATGTAAGGATTCCTTCAGAATCATAATGGCATTAGTGGCACATTACGATTTAGAATTACATCAGATGGATGTAAAGACGGCATTTCTCAACGGAGACTTAGAAGAAAATATTTACATGGCACAACCGAAAGGTTTTGTCATGGAAGGAAAAGAATGTTTGGGATGCCGCCTAAAGAAATTCATTTATAGATTAAAACAAGCTTCAAGACAGTGGTACTTGAAGTTTGATCAGACAATAAAGAATTTTGGGTTTAAAGATAATGTTGAGGACAATTGTGTCTACGCAAAGTTTAAGAATGAGAAGTTTATCTTCCTTGTCCTGTATGTGGATGATATCTTACTTGCTAGTAGTGATGTCAGTCTACTACTGGAAACAAAGAAGTTTTTGTCCTCAAAATTTGATATGAAAGATCTTGGTGAAGCTTCGTTCGTTCTAGGGATCGAGATTCACCGAGATAGAAGTAAAGGGGTATTAGGAATGTCACAAAAAGCATACATAGAAAAAGTCTTAAAGAAATTCTGTATGCATAAATGTAGTCTCTCACCTGCTCCTATAGTCAAGGGCGACAGATATGGGGATTTTCAATGCCCCAGGAACCAATATGAGATCGATCAAATGAAAGTGGTTCCATATGCTTTAGCTGTCGGAAGCTTGCAATATGCTCAAGTATGCACGCGCCCTGACTTGGTATTTGTTACCGGGTTACTTGGCAGATTCTAGAGCAATCCTGGAATAGAACACTGGAAATTGGTAAAGAAAGTCTTGTGTTATTTGCAAGGAACGAAAGGCCTCATGATGACGTATAGAAGATCTGATTCACTCCATATAGTGGGATATTCATATTCTGATTATGCGGGAGATAATAGAAAATCCACGTCTGGATATGTGTTCACTCTCGCAGGGGGAGCTATTTCATGGAAAAGCTCAAAGCAAACCGTCACTACATCGTCCACAATGTATGCCGAGTTTGTAGCGTGTTATGAGGCAACGGGGCAGGTGAACTGGCTAAAGAAGTTCATACCCGGTTTGAAGGTGGTTGACGACATCAATAGACCACTGAAGTTATACTGCGATAATAATCCAGCAGTACAGTATGCTCACAACAATAGGTCAAGTGGTGCTGCCAAACACATTGACATAAAGTATTATGTTGTGAAGGATAAAGTCCGGGATCAAATGATAAGTCTTGAGCATATAAGTACCGAAAAGATGCTCGTGGATCCGCTTACAAAAGGCTTACCACCCAACGTGTTCAGAGAACATGTAGCCGGCATGGGTTTAAGGGAAAGCCTATGACTCCTGGACTATAAAGGGCCCAAAAGTTAAAGTAACTATTTCAGATCAGAGACGTGCATTGTAGCTGTTAAATCTATCGACGATTGACCGTGACGATGAAACATGCTCTATGCATCATCTGTGAAGAAATGAGTAAGGATAAAAGGATTGAAGTTTAAAGTTTAAAGATAAAAGTAATAGTGTGAGATCAAGGGGGAGAATGTTAGATTGATCTCCCAGCCAATAAGCCCAACGGCCTATTGGGCCTTAGTCACGCGCCCTGATCGGGGGCGCCCAACCCTACATGGTTGGTGGGCCCCCGTCGCACTGCGCTATAAAAGTGGTGGGGGCCGGCGGCTCGAGGTACGAGGTTCACCGTGAGCCAATCCGCCCCACCAACAAACCCTAAGTCCGATCTAGCAAGGGTGCGCAGCCAGCGACAGGAAAACGCCACCGTCGGCTTCACTGCACATCACCCCGTCGCCGGACTTCACCGACTCTTCCCCGACCGTCGCTGCCCGTGCGCAGCCTACACCAGCGAACCTGATGGAGGCCACTAGATCTTCCACCCCTGCGGTCTCAGGTTTGGTACCCTTTTCCCTTCTCTCCCTGTCTCTCTCTAGACTATTCTAGATGTATTAGGATCTACCGTTTTACATATTATACCAAATAGGACAGTCAAAGGCTAGATCTATGATCCAACAGTTTTAACATTCTTTTCATGTTGGTTATTCAGCTCTGCGATGAAGCTTTCCAGCAAAGGCGGAGATGATCAAGCAAAAAGATTATAAGATAAGCAAGGAAAAAATGATTGCAAAGAATGTGTGCGCTGCACACAATCCAAGGGGTGAGGGCCAAGGCACAAGTTCGCGACAAGAATGGATAGTGGTGTTCTACCTACTAGCTATTATTCTTGAGATGGTTTGCTTTTGATTGTTCTTTTGCACCCTAAAAACATTTCCAGGCCAGAAACTGAATCATTTCTATGAGCACCTTAAAAAATCCCATTAACTTTGCCACCTGCATACATTCCAGTTAGATGCTAACCTTTGCAATTCTTCATGTACTCAACCAACCAAGCCTGATACTCTCCTAGATGCTCTTGACTCCCTAGCCACAGTTCGGCATGACAGTCTTTCTACTGCCCCGCCTAGTCCAATGATTTATTATTGTAGTTTTAGGACCATAATGAATTAGCACGGGCGCATGTTCGGTCGAATACTCAAATGCCACTCCACCTGAACACAACAGATATTTCTGAGAAAATTGATCAATCACCATGAAGTTTCATGACATGGAGAGATGTCACATTGTCACGTAAGGCCATAATACCATATCTCAAGTATGACAAGCTGGCACAATGTGGTTCGATGATCACGGGCATGGAAAGTGTAACAGATCCTCGAATTTGGCATAGGATGTTACCCTGGTCCTCCATCTTAGAAAATACCATTTTTTGAATCCCTAAAGTCAGGCTCATGACTAGTTGCCCGGACTAAGTAAATTCCATTTCAAATCCTAAACTTGGCTCTGGGTGTCGATCAAGTCTAAACAGATCCTGACTCGCTCCTTGGGTTGACATTGCAATAAGCATGTGTTGACTGTATGTTAACTCGCTCCTTGGGTTGACACATGATGAGTCCATGTTAGAACGGTTAGCAATGCCTATGCCACATTAACGCATGGATCAATTCGTAGCTCGTTTGAATTTGGATGACACCAAGCCAAGTTTAGGTAACAAAAATAGTATTTTCTAAATTAAGGACCTAAATGACACGGCCAACTTTTGATATCCAAAATTGGTATTTCATAAGTTGGATGACAGGAATGACACTTGGGCCTCTTTTAGAACTAACGAAAGCAAAACACATGAATAGGAAAACATGCAAATTACACATGAATGTAGTTGCAAAAGAGAGGATTGAAAAAAACACAGGAATTTTAAAGAAATAATCATTTGGACAGATGGGCCATAGAAAAAAACATAGGATTTTTACCAAGAGGTTTGAGTGGATGCAATTTCCTGTAGTTTTCCTCGAAAACAGCAGCCAAAGGAAAACTTCTACTCTATTCCTATGCTCCATTCCTATTCATCCAAAACAGCAGCCAAAGGAAAACTTTCCACACTATTCCTATGCTCCATTTCTATGAATCAAAGGCACGAAACAGTGCATTCCTATAGAATTCTCAATCCTGTGTTTTTCCTATAAACCAAAAAAGTCCTTTGTGCCAAGTTCAAGGACAACTGGTGAACTTTACGCTGGTGAAAAACGTGACCCAACGGCCAGATACAACAGTAGCTGGAGGATGACGGATAGAGGCCAAACTAAACTAAAAACAACACTTATCATTCACAACCTGACATCATGTAATCTACAGTGTACATCAATATGCCTTTTTTATAGGATGTCTCCCAAGAGACTACATCAATATAACAAAGGGGTAAAGGAATCACAATTCGGCACACCGGTTAGCAGGGACTAGCGATCCCAACCTGATGGTCGTTTTCTCTCCCTGGACCGATCCCGTGAACTGCAATTCATGCAAAACTTTGACTTAGAAAACAGGATACAGAACAATGACTTGACACAAGATAATAAATGTATGACCCACAGGGCAGGCAACATGACCCGAATTACCTACCTTTCTGGATTTGAGTTCCCATTTTCATTGTTGTTTCCTGCAGGCCGGGATGCAGGGACAGAGGGGGCAGGCTGCGCTGGCCGGGATGCGGGGACGAAAGTGGGGGCCGACTGTGCAGGCCGTGCATCTCCTCCAATGGTGCCGCCAGACACAAAGCCACGGAGTGCTGGTCTTACAAAGGAAGGTGCACTGCTGCTTGGAGTATTTGAAGATCCAGAGACAAAGCTGCTCTTAAATTGCTGCATCATCCCTGTCTTCAGCGAATTTACAGCAGCAGATCTTGGAGCAGGCACTTGCGAACCAGATTCAGCATTGTAACCTATGCCGAGGCCAAAATCAACTCCACGCACACCACGACCGCGACCAGCACCTCCACCGCCACCTTTTCCTTTGCCACCTTTCTTCCCACCTGATCAACAACAACAACATAGCCTTTCAGTCCCAAGCAAGTTGGGTAGGCTAGAGTTGAAACCCACCAAGAGCCCCAAGTCACGGTTCAGGCAATAAACTCCCTTCAATTTACTCTTTTATTCTTCTCCAAATGTAATGATTTGTTAGTACATGTTTCCATAAACGACTCATCCAGATAACCAGATTCCTGCTCTGTAAATAAGTAAGCAGGGCCTACCTTTCCTGGAGTCCCGTTTTGCTCTGAATCTTCCATCCTGCAATCACAACAGTTTCAGAAAAAGAACGGGATTATTTTAAATTGCAAAAGAACTGAAATTATGAGATAGTATCTACATTGCTGCAAACATCCAATTTGCATAACATTGTATTTAGCTAGAATTCCATGCAAGTCTACAGCTTACTATGTAACGCGACACTGAAAAAAAATTCATCAATAAGCTAACTAACCTTCATAGCCAGATCCATGAGTTCACTGGGTACATCCTGGCCAGCAGCAATCAAACTGTGAACCAGTTCACCAGCAAAGCGTGCTTCCTTCTGTGTAATCAGAGTGTATGCAGTGCCATCTTTATCACCAGCACGACCAGTTCTTCCAATTCGGTGAATATGCATATCCATCTCTTTTGCGATATCAAAGTTGACAACTGTTTTAATCGATTTGATGTCAAGACCTCGTGCAGCAACATCAGTTGCAACCAGAACATGATACGTCCCAGATTTGAACTTCTGCAGGGTCTCCATACGAGAAGCTTGATCCTTGTCACCATGAAGTGCTGCAATTCTGAATCCTCTCTGATTCAACTCTTTCTCTATCTCATCCACTCTAACCTTCTTAGATGCGAATACAAGAACATCTCCATCATCAATCATTCCAGGCAATTTCTCCAAAAGCCAAGGCATTTTCTCAACATCAGAAGGGAGTACATTAACAACTTGTTTAATGTCTTCATTAGCACCGCCAACTTGACCAACTGTAACTCTAATAGGATCAGTCAATATTTCTCTTGCCAAACGCTCTACTTTGTATGGCATTGTTGCAGAAAAAAGTAAGGTTTGTCGATCTGGTCTAATTTGACCAACAATGGATCGTATTTGTGGCTCAAATCCAAGATCGAACATGCGATCAGCTTCATCAAGAACCAGATAAGTTGCCCTGAACATCTTCAATGCCTTCAACTTCAGCAAGTCTATTAATCTCCCTGGAGTTGCAATGACTACTTCACAACCTGCTTTCAGTTCTTTAAACTGGTCAAATTTGGAAACACCACCATATACAGCAGCAACTCGAAGGTTGTAAGGCTTTGCAAACTTCTTAGCTTCGAGATATATCTGATGTGCCAATTCTCTTGTTGGAGCACAAATGACTCCTATTGGACCTTCTTCTTTCTCAAGCTCAGGCTGATCCATAATATGAACAATCATAGGGAGCACAAAAGCTGCAGTTTTGCCAGAACCAGTTTTTGCAATACCAATGATATCTCTGCCTGAAAGTACAATAGGTAAAGCCTGGCACTGAATTGTAGTTGGTTTTTCATAAGCTTGCTTGGCAATAGCATTCATTACCGGTACAGGAAACCCACAATCCTGAAAGTTTTTTATTGGCCTTGGCACATCAAAACCAGAAACCCGAATTGCCAAACTTTTCATATAATCTGCTACCTCTTGGTCACTCATACCTATAAGAAAAAAAAATCAATAAATCATAACTCATCATAAAGATCGAGAAGCAGCAATCTGTGAGTGCTGTAAACAAATCGTATAGCACGCTGGTTGTCACAACATCAATCATAAAGAAAAATACTTGCAAGGCTCCAGTAGCATTACCTTACTTCTTAAGACTTAACTAAATGCTAATTTAGAGTGTCATGGGTGCTGGGCCCAGGATGGCCTAGCCTGGGCTTAAGTGAACAGTACCGTGTACTGTAGCGTGCCCTGTAGCGCCCTTGCTAAGGAAGGAATAAGGATTAGGAAAGATATTAGATTAGATCAATTAGAGGGATTTGATCAGTTAGAGATAGGATCAGATTTGGGTCAATTAGAAATAGGATTGGATATGATTTGTTATGATTTGATTGGGCCTTCCTTAGGTGGCCAGGAGTCCTCTCTATTTAAAGGGAGGTGATGTACCAAGGAGAAGGAAGCAATGAAGAAAGAATAAACAATCCAATTCCCCCAAATACTCTAGTCTCCATCCACGCCCTTTGCCCGGCCATCTTCCTGGCAATGGTTATCCCCCCAATGATCTAAGGACCATAACATAGGGCATGTTTGGCAACATTGTATTTTTTTGCATCTGTATAGATATTTCTTTGAAAGTAGCATCTGTATAGATATTCCAGTGGTGATTTCTTGTGCACAACAAAACCCCTGACCCCCTGTAAAATGATGTCTGGGTAATCATATTCACTGGTTATTCTCGGGTCTCCATCATCGCTCATTCTGGCATGAATCGTCTGACACCTTCTAAATCCAAAAGAAATCTTTTCCAGGCCAGGTGGTAAAATCATTAGGTTGAATTTTACAGAGGTATTGGATACTATACCTGTATCCCAAACAGGCCCTTAGGAAGGAAGAAAGAACAGGAATGCAGTTCAAATTTGCTTCTTCCTTTGGAGTAGAATATATGGAGATCAAAGTTTGATGATGAGTAATGGAAAGAAACTTCGGCCTAAACACATAGTGCAATGTTCTGCAGATTTTCTACATGACCCGATGCTGGGAAAATGGACCAGTAACCCATCGACTTTAATCTAGTTTTGAGATAAATATCATAATTTTATGGTCGATAAGAACATCTACCATTATACTTGGAACACTAGTAAGTGCCTTGGCCCTTTGCTTTGCTAACCAGAGTGGAGGTTTACTGTCCAAGGCAGTACAACCACCAACATAGCATCTACTCCCTCCTTTCCAAATTATAAGACGTTTTGGATTTTATAGATACATTGCTTTAACTATGTATCTAGACAAAATGTATATCTAGGTGCATACCAAATCTATGTATCTAAAAAAACAAAACATCTTATAATTTGGAATGGAACATACAACACAGTTACAATCAGGTGTAATGGGCCTTTGATTCTTAAGTGAACCACCACCCAAGTGATTTGAAACATTTGAGCTTTTGGCCGTAAGAGTCATACAGAAGGGCATATGAAACATTATCAATTGCATAAGGATGAGAAGCAAAAGGAAGTAATGGAATTTTTCCCTATAAAAGAACTATATATATTTAATTTCTAGCACCGAACTAGAAGAATGCAATTAAAACGAGAGTGGACTTGGAACAGCATGGCTTGACTTCCATGCCAACACAACAAAGTTCAGATTGCGCCATGGAACAGAGCATCCAATCCAACTTATGCTACGTTCATAACATAATTTACTAAGCTAAGTACAAAGTAAAAGAACTGGCTGCATATCCTCACAAGGTAGAACTAAAGCAGCTCAACCGTGTAAGCTACAAGGAACACCTAGTTACAAACCAACATTACATGTACAGAATTAGATAGTAGAATCATAAGTTTAGAAAAGAATGCTAGGTACCAAGTGCTTCACCTGAAATCGACGGCTTCTCCTCGTAGAAATCTTTGGTGAAGGCGTCATACTCAATGGTCGAGTGATCAAGTGCTGGTATGGGCTCTATTTTCTTCTTGTCGATGACTATGGGGTTGTCATCGGAGTCGTATTCCATCATGCCGGCGTCTACGGCCTTGGCAGCGGCATAGACCTCCTCGTCGGAGTCGTAACCAGCGCGCATGGCGTCGGCGGCCAGCGTGAGCCCGGCGTCCTTCTTGGCCCGCAGGAAGCTCTCGACGGGGTCATCCTCGTCATCGTCGGAGTCCACGCGGCGAAGCGCCTCGGGCTTGGGCGGCGGGGGAGGCGCGCGGATCTCCTCCTGGATCTCGGCCATGAAGGCGTCGAGCGGGTCGACCTCCTCCTCATCCTCCGCCTTTCCTTCCACCGCGGTGCTGGCGGGGCCATCTGAGGGGGTGTCGTCGGAGAAGGCGATGTCGTCGAGGTCCGGGTCATCGGTCGGACGGTAGAGCCGCTGCAGGGGCTGCGAGCGCTCGAAGTTGTAGGAGGTGGGCCGCGGGATGCTGAAACCCTCGAGCTTCGGGCGCTTCGACATGGCGTCGACGAGCGGGGCCGGAGGTGGGGCCGAGGCGAGCTAGGGTTTGCGAGGCCGGGTGTGACGGAGGAAGACGATGGCAGCGTAGAATTGGCGCCGCTCGGCTGGCTGGGTGGCGGTCTCGCGGACCGTCGCTCTGGATGGCCTGGGCCGTGTAGGCGGCTGGATGAATGTAGGCCTTGATGGACCAGACGCGCCCGTGGGTCGTGGGTCGTCGCGGTGTCGCCCGTCTTTTTTAGGACTGTCGATGTGGACCGTCTAGAGCATCTCCAACAATTATATCAAAAAGAATATCCTTTTGTCCCACGTTGTAAGTTATTTTAGCTCGGTCTCAAAATATATAATATAATATTATAGCCTTTAAATTTTGTTTCAAAATACTTGATATTCTCTCTTCCCAACACACATTCTCTTTTGCTAATATACATTTCTCTTTTTCCAATACGTCTCTATCTCTACTCTTAAGGGACATTTTACTCTTTTGGCTTCGGCGTTGGTTTCCACGAGAGATTCTAAAATATCATCTAATATGGGATGGAGGGAGCAGTTTATACTATTTATTTATCTAGACATAGTGTATGTATATCTACGTGTATAATAAAAGTTAAAGTCAAAACAATTTACAATTTGGAACCGATTGGGTAGTAAAAAATCTAGTTTTGTAACCTTTACAATAAATCAATAATCTATAATTTCATCGTATCAAAGAGCAACGAATTTTATTCTCTCATTCTCTTCAGCGTCATTCGCAATGTTTTCCTAAACGGTAGACGGTCTTTACACGGTCGTCCTTCGTTTAGCGTTTAGGTTGTTTACACGGTGTTTAAACGAAGTTAAACGGTCTAAATGGTTTTGTACTTTTAAAAAAATACATATAATTATATATGTGCATGTAAAAAAATCGAGTATTCTAGCATTTATACATATTTATCCGAGTAAAAATAAATTATTTTGGTATGTATATATATTTATGCGTGTGAAAATAACCAAATATAGTATTTATGCATGTAACATATCAAGTGTACACATTTATAAATATAATAAACTTAAGTATACAAAATTTATCCATATAAAACTGAACTAGATTTACCTCGTGTTCGCCTAAACGGCCGTTTAAACAACTATTTAGCCCGTTTAATGTTGTTTATCTCCATTCCGTTTAGGCCGTTTTTTCCCGGTTTTTTGACCGTTTAAACGGTCAACCATTTAATTTCCGTTTACCTCCTAAACAAAATAATTTAGCACCGTTTACCGTTTTCTAGCCGTTTAATCCGTTTAGGCGAACACTGATCATTCGCCCATACTCACTCCTCTTCCATTCCTTAGTCTGTCGCCTTACTATCATCCTCCCTTCACTCTCGACTCTATTCCTCATCTCTCACTCCTCCGTTGCATCGATCCTCACTCTCATCCTTCTTGATCCATCACCCTTACTCTCATCCTTCCTTCACTGATTCTCACTCTCACTCTTTCTGTTGCCTTTACTCCCATCCTTCCCTCACTCAATCTTCTCAGTTCGTCACTCTTACCCTCATCCTTCCCTCACTAGTTCCTGCTCCATCATCTCGGCTCTCACTCTCGTCCTTCTTAGTTTGTCACCATGACTCTCATCCTTCCCTCACTCTTGTCCCTCTCAGTGTATCGTTCTTACTTTTATTCTTTCCTCACTCCCAGCCCTATCCATCATCTCTCTCTATCATCTCGTCCCTCACCCTTTTCCTTTAAGTTTAGAGCTGCAAAATGTCGCACCACTCATACTCCTTTGTTGTTGCTGTCTCGTCCCTCACTCTCACCCTTCGCCTTGTCCCTTACTCCCATCCTTATCAATCTATTGCCCTTACTCTCATCTTTCGTCCACCCAACGAAACGGAAAAATAGCTCGTCTCATCCATCCAACTAAACATGCAGCATGGATATCCAAATTCCAAAATTCCTGGATAGTCATATCCCATTCAACTTCGACCTCAAACTAAACACATCCTAATTTGTCAGAGGTTAAAAAAGCTGCGGCCACAATATTCAACCTACATCTTCCAGAGCTGTTTTTATTAGAACACATTTGTAGAGGCAAACATACACCCCCTTTCAAAAAGAAACACATACATTCTTTTTCATTCCAAGCTACTAGATGGTTTTAAAGTAGTTAGATGTAAACGTTTCAAAAGGGTTGATAAACGGGAGTACCATATAACTGTTTTGATTAGGTGACCTATTAAGTTGACGTTTATACTGAGGGACAATAACCTTAGCCTGAGCGAGGGAAATTCTTGGACGTCCTTTCACATCCCGTCAATACACCCATTTAGTGAACCTTTTTCTTTTTTCTTTAATTTCCTTTTGAAAAATGCAAATAGACGAAATCAAGAAACAAGACCGTGACGAGAACGAAGTACTGTTTGTTTCCCTCAGGTAGTATATGTCTTGAACATTTCTTTGCAAAAAAAAAAGTTTAAAACTTTCGTACCAGTTTGTGTGGAATGAGACTTCTGTTTACAAATGAGGCGCGAATGGTTGCATAGCCTCTACATATTATGTGAGCCATCTTATCTAGCCAAACATTAGTGGATAAAACCCAAAATTTTATGCTCGTGCATATCGTTCTGTTCTTCAGCACTACTTCAGCAGTACTTTTCAACAAACAAACAGTGTTTTTCTCTGACAATAAATCAGTATAAGCCAAATTTCAACAAAACAAACGGAGCCTTTATTATATATAACATTGCTGAAGCCTGAAAAGCATAAACAAGTGATCAACGAGAGCTTACCCTCGGTCTCAGTAAAGAAATCCGGTGTATTACTGAAGAATCCAATGTCCAGACAAAACACTGACCAACCTGCGTCCTATTCATTTGAGCTTATTTGGCTTATAAGTCGTACTTTTTAGCAAATGAACAATATTTTTTTCTCACACCAAATTAGCCAAAAGTACTTACAGCCATGACTTATCAGCCAAACCAGCCTAAACGAACATATTTTTTTAATTTTAACCTTTTTCGAATTTAATTTTAAATATAATTATGTCGGGTTTTTTTTAACTAACACTTTTGGCCGCGCCTATTGCCCTGGCGCGGCCAAATGCCTGTGCCGCGTCATGCATGGCGGCGCGGCAGAGGTCTGACGTGGCGGAGACCAGAAGCGACGACCGATGACGTGGCAGGGCTCTGCCGCGCCACCGATCTTGGCGCAGCAGTGTCGCGCCCTGATCCGTGGCGCGGCAGAGGGGGGTATAACTCGCCGCGGGCCTCTTGCTCGAGCAGCAAAGTCGTTCCGCGAGCAGCATAGCCACGCAGCCTGGGCGCCGCCACCGCCTTCGCCACGGCCGCGTCCGCCCACGCCAGCCAGCCCGCCCGTGGTAGCTAGCGAGCCGCGCCCGCAACAGTAGCAAGGCAGCCGCGCCAGGCAGCCCGGCCGCCCGGTGCGTCCACCGCGTCGGCACGCTGGCGCGCCTCCCCCTCCGGCCAGAACCTCCGGTCACGCACAGCGGCTGCCCGCCTAGGTCTGCGCCCGCGCCTCCCGGCCTGGTCTTGCGCGCTGCAGCGAGGTAGTCCACTAATATTGTTAACGCAGTTAATAAAGTTAGTAAAATTATTAAAGTATAGTTAGTATAGTTATTTAGTTTAGTTAGTATACGTAATATAATAAGTTAGCCTTGTATAGATGTAAATATTTGATTAGTTAGTATAGTTATAGTTAGAAAATGTATTAATGTTAGTATGGACATTAGGTACGATGATTTCGACGACTTAATGAAGTGTCTTGAAATGGTTTTGCAGATGGATTGTTGTGTTAGAGTTTTGTACGGAGGAAGTGTTAGGAGAGAAGATGGTATGTTTGAGGATATGGAAGAAGAATTGAAATGGTTTGATGAACCTCCTAGCTTCAACGACCTTTGTGTCCGTTTGAATGCAAGTTTGGCGGTGATTTTACACTGAAGAGGAGGTTTGATACTGGGAAGACTAGGGCACACTATGTCCTCATGCCCTTGCACGACCCTGCTCACTGGTCTCACTACACTAGGGTTATCCAAGGTTCCAATATACCCATGGCTGAGGTGATGGTGGAGAATGAGTACATGATGCATGGTGTTCAGGACGGCCCGTCCATTGATGGTTTTGGAGGCAATGAACAAGAATTAGGGGTCAAAGGGGAAGCAACTCAGGAAAACAAGGATTTGGACAGTCAGTTGACGCAGGAGCAGTTTCATTCAACTGCAGTAGACTGTATAAGCAATGACTTTGATGTGAATGAGTTCGAACGGAAAGAGGAGGACCAGGAGGAGGAGGACAGGATCGGTGATGTAGTTAGCAGTGATTCAGACGATTTTGATGATGACCAAGGAGGTACAGATGTTGTGGCAACACCAGCTGATGCCATGCCCGTACCGGTTCAAACTATGCCATTACCAGTACCAACTGAGGTTTTACATGGTGTCCATGTTCAGGGTAGACTAGTCACGGATTTGGCTGCAGATGATAACCCCTATGATTCATGGGCCAGAATTAGCGAAGCGCAGCAGTATGTTCCACCACCACCTTACACAGCGACTGAGCTTGAGCAACTAAGGTCTAAGAACGTACCTTTCAGGGGCGTTCCAAACTATAGGGATGTCAGCATGACGGATATGGCAATTTGTGATACCGGTCTCCAGCTATGTAGGAATTCATTGTATAACCATGAGAAAGAACCCCTTAGGAAGGGGATGATATTCAATGCAATGTCAGAGATGAAACTCTTCCTTCAGGACTATACTGTGTACCACCATAGACCGTACACCGTCACTCATTCGGATCAGGAGTTGAGGTACCACTTGATATGCAAAAACGGTTGTCTGTGGATGTTAAATGCACGAAGGAGACAGAGTGATGGCAAGTGGAGGATAACAAAAGTTGTTGAACCCCACACTTGCCTAGACAATAGGGGGAAGGAAAATTATCAGCAGCTCACTGCACGTTACCTTGCCTGTCGTATATTGGGGCTCGTTGATGACAATAACGACATCTCGGTGTCTTCTTTACAAGAGTCCATATCTGGATTCGTTAGGTACGATGTGTCATACGGAAAGGCTTGGCGTGCTAAGCAAATTGCTCCGGCGATTCGATGGGGTACTTGGGAGGAAGCGTATAACATGGTGCCCCGCATCTTATGTGCAATACATTATTACAACCCTGATTTGAAATGGTTTGTGGACACCAAAGAGATGTTTTTTCGGGACCCATTGAGGCATGTCCTCTATCGTGTGTTCTGGTCGTTCGCGCAAACAGAACATGCATTCCAGTTTTGTCGGCCAGTCGTACTTGTTGATGGCACTTTCCTGACAAGAAAATACAGGGGCACCTTGACGATGGCTGCTGTTGTTGATCCTGAGGACCAGATAGTATCCGTGGCTTTTGCTTTGGCAGAGGGAGAGAACAATGAATCGTGGTCATGGTTCATGCGGCTTTTACGTGTGCAAGTGCTTGGCTCAACTCGCACTATATGTTTGATCTCTGACCGTCACGCATGGCTTCTTAATGCTGCAGCTGAGCATATAGATGGGTTCCCACCTCTGTTCAAAAGAAATATTATATCATATATGTCTTAGCAAAAGAAACAAAATGTGATTTCATGTTTACCACAAAAATAACGAACCTCTTCGTACTCAACCATATGGCCGCAATAATGGTCTATTCCAAGCTCCGAATGGACTAGGCCATAGTTAGAATTAACACAACATTCGCACTTGACTGGTGGTGCTTTGTAAATTAACCTTTCTTTCTTCTTTTGTTTTGCTTTTGGAGGTTCTTCGGGCCATTTGTTCTTAGGACCATACAACCACTCTTTGAAATGACACTTCGGCATTGAATGCACCTAAATAACGTGACATTAGTACATGAACACATATAGCTAAAGATTTCAACACATACACTTTGCACTTACTTCATGCTTGTTTGGACACACAAACTCCAACGTATTGTCAGGGTTTATCACAGCTCGATCTTCGCAATCGCATCGAGGACGTTCCTCGAGTCGTCTAACTGCGGCCAGGTGCTGCTCCTTAGCCGTAATTGGTGGAGGGTTAGGGGGGGGGTGGAACCCACCGCTTGAAGCGCTCACGGGGCTTTCTTCCTCTAAACCAATCGTCGAAAAGGAGGTACCTAGAATCAAACTTGTCTGCACCGTCGATCCACTGAAAGAAAAAGCACCTCTCATGGTCCTACACAACAAAAATTCAACAAAATATTAGTTATCTAGTAATACAAATGAAAAAGAAAAAGATAGTAAAAATAATTACTTACATTAAAACAACTGCACGTGTAGAAGCAACGAGCTGCTGTGTCGGGATGTCTCGATTGAAACACGTCGGCCGGACGACCACAGTCACAATTAGGGAAGGGAGTTCAGGAGGGACGGGGGCATCTTTGTTAGACTCGTCGGGATACATTTTTCTAGAACGACCCCGTTTCACCATAACTGTTCCCGAAACATATCTTCCATCTAATAAAACGGTTCAAATTTAACATAAATCAAAACAACACAAATTATTGAAAAATGTAATCATCTGCAATGCAACTAAAATATTATAAAGAACAATTATAGCAACAAAAATATACATGACAAACATTGATAAAATCAAACTAATATATTCACCATAGTTCCCAAACATAATTTTCCTATTGATCTTAACTCCCATTCATAATATCCTATTCACCATTCAAACGAAAATAAAATGTGCGTCATTACCTTGAACTAAGACGAGGAGGACGAGAAGGGAGGGAGACGGCCGAGGAATGGAAGGAAAAGGACGGAGGCGGCAATGGAGGGCCGGGCTGCCGCCGTACGTGGCGCAGCGGCCGGCGTGGTTGGCGATGGCCGGGCGCGGGAGCGACGCTTAGGCGGCTTTCTTGCTCGGGCAAGCGGCCCGCGGCGTGGGTTATACCCCCCCTCTGCCGCGCCACGGATCAGGGCGCGGCAGAGCCCTGCCACGTCATCGGTCGTCGCTTCTGGTCTCCGCCACGTCATACCTCTGCCGCGCCGCCATGCATGACGCGGCACAGGCATTTGGCCATGCCAGGGCAATAGGCGAGGCCAAAAGTATTAGTTTAAAAAAAATCCGACAGTGTTAGATTTAAAATTAAATTCGAAAAAAAGTTAAAATTAAAAAGAATTCAACGAACATGACGATGATTAAACAGGCATGGCATCACCTAGGGCACACCAAACCTGGAGCGACCGGCAACTACTAATTAACAGCCACCCAAGTCCTATGTTGCATCAACGACGTCTTAATCTAATGGATGGCCGAATAAAGTATGCCATTTTCCAATGCCTGTCACGAGAAGATCTTCGAACCCCCCAGAAATTTCAACTCCAACTCTTAATAATCGACTAGCACGGTGGTCGCGCTACGCTGTGCCAGCTTTTGTTATGCGTGAACAAACGGTTATGGACTGTTGGTTAGAAACTGGATTCTAAGGCAGAGCAACTAATCCTAGACTATTTAATCGCTTGCCTATATTTTACTAATTAGTAGTCGTAACGTTGAAAACATAAATACACAAAAAAGAACTACATTTTCTATGAAAACAAAGACAGGGTGTGCATGAAATATTGAGCCCAAGTAGAAATATTTTCAAAGAGTATGCCAAATAAAATAGATTGCAGTTCAACCGGCAGGCCTCGCTAGTGGCCGCCGACGCGGATGCCCTTAGACGTGGCTTTCTCCTGCCGCTCCATGTGTGTTCCTGTCCTCGACGAAACCCTAGCTGCCTATGCTCGACGACCGCGCCCGTGCGTGTGGCCTCTTCCTCGCCGGAGGCGACGGTGGCGGTTCAGCTTGGCGGCGCGGTGAGGCGATACGTCGTCCTCTCCTCCTCCTCTCTCTCATGGCTCCTCCTTAGCTCACTGGAGCGGGCCAGTCGAGGCCCCATGGCAGCCGCCGCCAGATGCACGCTTGTCACTTCGGTGTGCGGTGGTGCATCGGCAGCGGCGTCTTGAAGGCGTGCCTCGTGTCACCGGCGGGCAATGCTCGTGGCAAGATGGCGCCGCCAGTATTCTCTCTCTCTCTCTCACATGCCTCCTCCTGCAGACGTCCCGTGCGTTGCCCGCTTCGATCCGTTGGTTTGCTATCTCTGTCTCTCTCTAACGCTTTCTCTCTCTCCCTCCTTACTCTGTGCAGTGAATCTAACGAATGGGTATATTGGACATAGGGAGAAAAAACTGACACGATCAAACCAGTCAACTAACAGATGACTAATGAAAATAGACGGTAGTGCCATTTAAGAAAGAAATTTTTAACTTCATGCCAAATAGGAAAGTTTAAATTTTCGAGTGCCAAATATAAAACACTGATTTATTTCCGTGCCAAATAGATAATTCTCCCTTTTATTTTTTATTACCTTGAGGCGGAAAATTTAAGGGAGACCCTCGGACGACCGTGCTGGAAGCGGAAACACGCGGCTTGTTTGATAAGCCTGGAGGAAGTGGACAAAATAGGGCAGGCGTGGCGTGCGCCGCCGACGCGGGAACCGCCGGGCCAGCGGAGGCAAGGCCGCAAGCCGCATTCATTACGCGTCGATTAGGTACGTAAAGAGGGCTTGAAGCACGTAGAGGGCTCCATTTTATTCGCGTTTGAGGAAGTATTATCGTCATGTTCGCTTGACTTATAAGCCGTACTTTTTCAACCAACGAATAATATTTTTCTTTCATAATAAATCAGTCAACAGTGTTTTTAGCTACGACTTATCAGCTTAAGCGCACAGCGTGTATATCTACGTGCCCTTTATAACAATTAGAGTAAATTTCAAGTCTGCCCGTCAACAAACCCTGGGCCCTGCCGCCCTGGGGAGTGGGGACTGGGGGTGCGCACTCAACGTTCAAAACGCAGGAGGCGTCCATCACAAGTGTTTGGCGTACTGGCGTGGGCACACTGGCACAGCACGCCCCTGTTCTCACTTCACATATCACAGTGGCGCGTGTGAAAAGCGCAGGTCACTCGGCGCGGGGAAAAGGCTGCTGCAATTGGCGCTGCCACCGAGGCCTCTCTCTTTCTCGGTTTCTCCCTCTCACGTGGTATCTCCTCGGCCCTCGCCTGTCTTCGCACTCCAGCGGTCCAGCCCTCCCCCTCCTCCCCTCCCACTGTCCCACCCCAAATTCCCCCTCTCACCCGTCGGTTCCGTAGCCCTCTCCATTCTGGGTTTTGGGGTCGTCTCCACGAGTTGGGTTTGGGGTCGGTCGGCGGCGGCGGCGGAGGAGGCGGAGCTGGGAGGGCGAGGCCTGAGATATCCTGCAAGCGGGAGTTTGGGCGCGCTCTCTGCGGCCGGAGACGCGCGGGTGAGATCTACGAGGGCCGCTGCGGCGTTCTCGCGGGGCTGGCGGAAGACATGGGTTTCCTCTCGGCGAAGCTGCTGCCGTCGTGCGAGAGCATGTGCGTGTGCTGCCCCGCGCTGCGCCCGAGCTCGCGCCGCCCCGTCAAGCGCTACAAGAAGCTGCTCGCCGAGATATTCCCCAAGACGCCCGTGAGTATTCGGTTCTCCTCTCGCTTCGCTTCGGTCGGCGCGCGTCTAGTTTAGGAAGTTCGGTACCGGCATTGGCTGGCTGTTGCGGCCGCATGATGCACTGTGCTACTATTTTGGATCTGCAAGTAGTTGGTAACAAGCTTCCTTATAAAATGCCTAGCGGAATATTTGCTCTGTCAAGTGTGTCGTATTCTGTTTCCTCTAACTTAATTTTGTGGATTTTAATGTTGATTGTTTGCGGCATTAGTGGTCAAGTGTATCGCTGTTTACTATGTTTACATGGTTTACTTTTGCAGGATGGTGCTCCAAATGAGAGGAAAATAGTGAAGTTGTGCGAGTATGCTGCGAAGAACCCACTGCGCATACCAAAGGCATGTGATGTTGCCATTTTGTGACGTATTGCACTGCTACAGGACGATGTGGTTAATCATTGCTTGTTTCTTCTTCACTGCTTGCCTGCCTGCCAGATTGCCAAGTTTCTAGAGCAGAGGAGTCACAAGGAGCTGCGCTCTGCTCATGTGAACTTTGTCAGAATCATCACTGAAGCTTACAGCAAGCTACTCTTCATTTGTAAGGAGCAGATGTGAGTTTGCCAATTTCTTAGTTACCACTTGTGCAATACTTATTGGCTTGCAATGTTAACTGTTGCTGATAAGGTTTTGTGGCAGAGTTCTTATGTTGTCCTACTGTGCACATGTTTTGTTGCAGGGCATATTTTGCGATCAGCCTAGTGAATGTCCTTACCGAGCTTCTGGAAAGCAAGCAGGAGAATATTCACATCCTTGGGTGTCAAACTTTAGCAAACTTTATTAACAGTCAGGTGGGGCATGGCAATCAGACATGTTCTGTGCTTTAAGTTTTCACATAATTGGTCATCATGATTTTTTGTTTGAGGTATGCATCATGATTCAATTTTCCCCTGCATATTACCAGGTAGACAACTCATATGCACGCAATATTGAAAGCTTGGTGCACAAAGTATGTGCGCTTTCACGTCAACAGGGAGAGGAGCACAGGCTTCTGAGGGCAGCAAGCTTGCAGTGCCTGTCAGCAATGGTAATACATAGTTCACTTCTTTCCCCCCTTTACTTTCCTGATGCTTTCTAGCAGTTTTTTTTCCTGAGGTTTAAGCTCACTGACTATCATAATGTTTCCGCAGATCTGGTTCATGAAGAAGCATTCATACATATTTGCTGATTTTGATGAGGTTGTTGTATCAGCTTTTTATAGCATTGACCTGTTGTGAATACTTCTTTTTGTCTTTCCACTATCTTTCTTGTTTGTACAGCTTATTTTCATGCTTACAAATAACCAGCTCTTGTCTTGCTTCGTGTCAGTCCTCTCTTGCTTGAGTTGCCTTGTCTGGATTTCTGGACCAAGTACTATCAACTATTTGAGGCTGCAAACTATTACTTTTTTTCTTCGCTTATACATGGATGTTAGTTTACTGTTCTTTTGTTGTTTCTTCTATGAACCTCCGCCCTGAGTGATTATAACATGATGTTTTAAACCAAACTGGTTCAGCCTTGTCTCTCCTTTTCTAAGATAGTATGGTTGATTCATCTAGAAATTAGGATTTTTTTTGGCAAAAGCTATCATTAGTACATGCTAAGCTAATTCGGCGTTGTGTGTCAAATTTAAACTGGATAAATTTTCTGCCAACACTCTTCTTAGGTTTTGATTTGTGGTCTAGTTCCTTGGTCTTGTTGTACCAAACTCCTTTTATTTTTAATAAACAGATACACAAGCCTTTTGTGCATTCTTGAAAACTATTCTGCTGCTGATTGAAGTTTTGACCTGTTCTTGCATCCTGTTTGAAACTTTTTGATTGGTTGTTGAATGCATTTGATTTCAGTATTTCTTGAGTTCAATGCCATGTTGGAAATTGAAGATTTAATGTCCTGTGGATTTGGCAGATAGTGCATTCAGTGTTGGAAAATTATAGGACGGAGGAATCTAATGGCGGTGGTGATGACAGACATGCATTGCAGCATAATTGGGTTGATGAAATAGCAAGGTCTGAGGGTAGACCTGGCGTAGGTGGTGGTAACGATGTGAATATTAACACTACAACTATTAGGCTGCGACCAGCAAGAAATTCGTCAGCTCTTACCAGGTAAGGTATCTTTAGCTGGTATATCATGAACTTTCTGCTGAAAATGTATGCTGCTGCGTGCCATGCAAGTTCTTGCACCATGGTATTCTGTTACAGTCTTATCTCGAGCAATAGTGCACACCTTTCTTCTGATTTGTCGAAGGGTTCAGTGTTCAGACCGTAACCGAGATCAGATATCATGCTTATGCTCTAGATTTTATTTGATGTTTTTTCGTCCAATATAATATCTTTGGAGTGTATAGATGTGGTAGAGGTGGATATCTGATAGCACAAAGATGTAGATCAATTCTGATTTTTGGATCTGCGTGCTGTAAGCTGTGTCCATTTGGGCATGTAATTAGTAGTCGCTCAAGCTTAAGATTTGCGTTATTGTCTGTTGCTTGGTTCTGGGTACAATCGTTCTGACGTCTGTGCTGTGCATGCTGGCCCTGTGTACTCAGATGTGCTGGTGGCCTGGTGCGTTTTAAGTAGATTTTGGTTTCGTGATCAAGTGACGCTTTTGTAAATTCATTGCTGTGAGGTCATGAAATTTGAGCTTCCCGTCGTGGAAAAAAGATAAATTCTGATTCCTATACTATGGCTTATTTGTTTTTCTATTACATTCTTGCTAGATTACTGATATGCAAAAAAAGAACTTGTGAAAATCCATGTATCGCTTAATTTATGCATCTTCCGAGTTATGAATTGAAACATGCTAACATTATTTAAAAGTTAAAAACACCTTGCCAGTTATTATCCCGCCTATATATTGTGGCCTGCCATTTTCCTTTTCTTTTTCATACTTTGTTTTGTCTTGTGTAAATTATATATTAAGTTATTCATCGTACTCCATTTTCACCAGCCCTAGTTCAATGTACACAATAGATTATGGTTTGTTTTAATGGAATCGCAGGGATGAACGTGACTCCCCAGAAGTATGGTCGCATATTTGTGTCCAAAAGCTTGCAGAACTGGCCAAAGAGAGTACAACCATGCGTCGCATTCTAGATCCAATGCTTTCATACTTTGATATGAAGAAACAGTGGGCCCCACGACATGGATTGGCTTTGCTTGTTTTGTCTGATATGGCTTATCTGGAAAAGAGTTCAGGTAGTTTGTCTACTCCCAAGAAGTTTTGCGTTCAAGCAACATTATGTTCCATTTGAAATTTCTTTCAAATATTTGTACATGGATTTTGTGAGGATTTTTTCTCCTAGGCTGATACCATGTAGAGACACACCTCGCACCCAATATGGGGGGGTGACCTTCATATATATAGCCAATATGGCTGGGTATACAAGGAATACAATCAAGTATACATAGAAAGTGCTAATCATGGCTAATCACACATAGACTTGCCTAATAGGTACTGTAGAGTATGTTTTTGGTTTCCTTTGTTTCTTACATAGTGCCAACATATGTAATCATCTTTCCCAGAGAGCACCTAACTCCATAATTTTAACTATTATTTATTAGAATAGATTATCTGTTCTATTACAAATCAGTCTTCATGGAAGATGTGGAGCATCCACATTCGTCGTCACATTATCCTCGAAGCTCAGTATGGTTCGGTGTCACCCTATTATTGAATACATTATGATATGCACCACAACTTCGTTTCCCTGTGTATTCTGTTTTTCATTGCATTATCCCTCCATGCTAACGCGGTCTTGTCTTACAGGCAATGAACAGCTTATTCTAACTACCGTCATCCGGCACTTGGATCACAAAAATGTTGTACATGATCCTCAGACAAAATCAGATATTATTCAGACAGCAACGTCCTTGGCACAGCAACTTCGATCTCGAGGATTTGCTGTTGAACTTGTAGTGGCAGGTGACTTGTGCAAGCACTTAAGGAAAACACTAGAGGCTGTGGAGTCAGGCAATGTCGAAGATCAGAATTTGAATGAATCTCTTCAGAATTTCTTGGAGGACTGTCTTATGGAAATTGTTAGAGGAGTATGCTCTGATTATTCTGCTCTATTACTTAACTGATATTATTGACAGCTCCCATTTGCATACCTGTTCTTTCCCCATTTAATTTACTGTTTTCTGGAACTTCTATTAGATTAATGACGTGCGGCCACTCTATGATATGATGACAATCACATTGGAGAATTTGCCTTCTATGCCAACTGTTGCCAGAGCAACCCTTGGAAGTTTGCTGATCCTTTCACACATAATCTCGTTGACATCAGTATCGTCTAACAGTCCTATGGTCAGTTGACAGATCTGAATTTAAGCTATCATCTTAAGTTCCACATTATTTATATACTGTGCTTTTTTTTTTACTATGGAACAAACAATGTCCCCTGCCTCTCCCTGTGTACTTTCCTTGTCTTTGTCAATATCCTGTCTTTTGACCACCTTTACCATCTTTTTTTTTTTGCTTGTGTCTAGGTATTTCCAGAAGCACTTCTCCAGCAGATACTGAAGTTCATGATACATACTGATATCGACACTCGTGTGGGAGCGCACCACATGTTTTCCGCTATTATTGTCCGAGGGCCAAGCCATCTGCGGAGTGAATCAGAGTACCTATACGAAACAAAAAAGCAGTCTCGGACTACATCTGTATTTGCTTCAGCTACTGCTCTACTGGAGAAGTTAAGGAGAGAAAAGGAGAGTTTAAGTTCAGATAAGCCTCGAAATATCATGCATGATGATGTGAAGGAAATGAACATGCATGAAGAGGATAAACGGAAAAATCCAGCTTATTTCTCTAAGCTGGTTTCCTCTTTCGTTGAAAGATGTGCAAAGCGAAGTAGCTCTGTAGAGGTACTCCACACATTACCACTGAATTCCCCACCCCACCCCACCCCTACCCCTGCTGAAGTTTATTTTTATCTCTCTTACAAATTTTCCTTTTGCCGTCAGCTGTGTTTATTAATGTGTAACACTAGCCTCTTCCTTGTGCAAATGTTTCAGGAGACCAATATTGCCATGCTAACTGAAGATCAAACCAACCAATTGCTGTCTTCATTCTGGATTCAGGCCAATCAAACAGATAATACTCCTTTTAATTATGAGGCTATTGGCCATTCATACAGCCTAACAGTTCTTTCTTCCCGCCTTAAGGTATGAATTTGTTTGGAAGAAAAATATCCTTTTGACGTTTTTTTGATGAGACAACAACAAATTTCACAGAAGCACAAAGTTGTCAGTCTTCTCTCTTCACGTTTTTGGGCAACAACTTTATTTTATAAGAGATTCAGTAGACTTGTCTGTGATCCCTTTTTCCAACTGCAATAAGGCATCCTTGCCTTTGTTTTAATAATCCTCATAATTATGACTAAATTATTTTCTAATGTTCTTGATGCCACAGAATTCAAGCAACGGCAATATCATTCAGTTTTTCCAGTTGCCATTGTCCCTTCGAAGTGTTGCTTTAACCCCGAGTGGTATGATCTGCATTGTGAAATTTTATGGTTTTCCTATCTCTGCTTATTTATCTCTCATGCAAAGTCACATGTTTTCGTTTATGCAATTTGTTCAGAAGTTCTGCCGGCTTCTTGCCAACGGTCTATTTTTACATTAGCAATGAGTATGCTGGCTTTTGCTGGAAAAGTTTGTCACATCACTGAACTGTCAGACTTGCTAAGGTGTTTTTCATCTTCCAAAGTAAGTCTAGCGCAGAGAATATTAAGATATTATGTCCTTTTCACACAAAATACTTCATGCTGTATCTCCTTTATGGTTTTTTCATGTTCCTGGCTATCTTATACCAGCTTCTGCTTCTGTACTATTTAGCAAATGTAAATGCATTGGTTTTTCATGTATGATTAGTGAAAATGTATTATTAAATGCTATGCAGATTGACCCTTACCTAAGAATAGGTGAAGACTTGCAACTCTATGTAAGGTTGCAATCGGATCTAGGTAGCTATGGTTCTGAAAGTGATCAGGAGGTTGCCAAATCCATGCTTTCTGACTGCAGGACAAAAGTAGGGATTAACGATCAGCGAGTGCTTGATGTTATTGCCTCTGCACTTTCTAATTTCATTGAGGTTAGTCCTTTGCATGGTCAGTGTGATTTTGCCATATGTTTTCTGTTGGCATTGCATGCTGGCGTCACATGCTGTTGTGAAGCAAATGTACTATCCCCCTCTCCCCTTTCCAATTGTGATTTCCCTTGTTTTTCTAATCGAAACTGCACTAACAGATGGGCAAGGATGTACTAACAAAGGAGCTCACTGAGATGTTCACACCTGAAGAGATGCCTCTGTTTGGGTCAAATTCAGCACTTGACTGGTCCAACTTCAATGCGCAAGCATTTTCTGATGAATCCCTTTCTTTTGATGAGGTGGGTTGCTTACATTAAACACTGAACAGACCTTATGGTTCATTGGATGAAGGCACTTGTGTATGTCTGGAATGATTCGATGTTCCACCTTGTTATTTTTCTTTCCATCATGACAAAAAATGTTTCTAGATCACCTCACAAGTCCTTTGCATTGCAGGAATGTTCAAGAACCTCTTCAGTAGATTGTGGCTTGCACGAGTCACCAATAACCAACACTGCTAGCTCCATCTCAAAGATTACTCTACCACAGTCTGTCCCACATGTTTTAGGTGTCGGTCAATTGTTGGAATCAGTAAGTACTTCAAAATTCAGTTGACTTATTATTCATCTAGTTCACATTTGTACTAACATTGTTAAGTATCGGCAATTAGGCATCCTTATGTTTTATACTCCCTCCGTTCCAAATTATAAGAGCTTTTAGGCATCCTTGTATGCCAAAACGTCTTGTAATTTGGAACGGAGGGAGTACATTGCGTTCCGTTTCTACCTCTAACTGGGGCATCATGGTAGTTAGTTTATTATATCACGTAACCGAGTTACGAGTTCTGAATATCAGTCTCTGTTATCAGGCACTACATGTGGCTGGCCAGGTTGCAGGTGCATCTGTTTCAACCTCACCTCTTCCATATGGTACAATGACTAGTCAATGTGAAGCCCTTGGATTGGGAACCAGGAAGAAGCTATCAAGCTGGCTTGTCAATGGACACGAATCAACCCCGGACAATCCTATGCCAAGTCTTCCCACTGCCCATCATTCCATCATTCCCAAGGTACGGAGATGGCACATCTGAATTCTGAAACATGTCTCCTAGAATGCTGTTATCATGTATATTGTTCTCACACAATCTGCATTTGTCCAGGTAAACTCTGCCATGTTCCGCACATTATCTGAACCATGTTCTGCAGTGAAGCTTCCACCTGCCAGCCCCTTCGATAACTTCCTGAAGGCTGCCAATCGCACCCAGCCGGAGCTGTGATCGACTGACCTAAACACAGCCCTCTTCACGAGTGCTAGTCTGCAGTACCAACGCGTAGGGTACTAGGTTATCTAATGGAACACTTTATCTATGACGTGGTTTTAGTTGTAGTAGGGTAAGTATGTGTATCTATCTATTAGATGTCTGTAGCGTATGCATATCTATCATCTTACGACTGCCTCTGTAGTTGTAAGTCGCGAGCTCTGTGTCGCCTGTGCAGACTGAGTTGTATGAGAATTACTTAATATGTTTGGCACTCCAGTATGCTTGCCAAAACGTTTGTAGGTATTCTTGAGGTAGAGGGAGTTTAGAGGGAGCTTCTGTATGCTTGCGAAATCGTTTGTCGTAACTGGTAGTGTTGTGTGCATAATCTCGGTCTTGTCTAAAAATGTTTTGTACTCCTGTTATGGGCCACTAACGCAACGCAATTGGAATAAATTAGTAGCGGTTTCGGCAATACTCCGTCGGCAAGCATAGGGAGTATTTCTGCTAGGGAGATTTGAAACAGTTCATTCTGTCGCCGGGAGTGTTGTTCCGCTTGGGGCACCAGAAAAACTCACATTTTTTCCTTGTTACTATGCCGTGAAGACTGAAGACCTAAGGAATACCATATCACCGGAATCCACTGGTCATGCAACCTCTGCAATAGCATCTCCACCGATGCTATCTAAAACACACGATCTAGTTCTCTCTTTAGGTAGCTATCCATTTTCGTACTACCCAGATTTCGTTGTTTACTTCAGCAACACTTCTTGAAATAGAAACCCCAAATCCATCCTTGCAGAGGAAGACACGTGGGACCTACATGTCATCCTCTACCAGGTTCTTCCCATGGGGCAGAGCCAGTAGGGGAGGGCTTTGCCGCCGAGGCAAGGCCGCGGCGTGGAGGATCAAGTAAAAGGTATTTGCTGGAGATGGTCTAACCTATATACTCCATAGGCCTCGTTCGCTTGTCTTAAATTTGGCTTGTTCGACTTATTTTTTCAGCCGGAGCAGTGTTTTTCTCTCACAACAATTCAGCCGGAACAGTATTTTTCAGCCAGTTTCAACCAAAGTTCAGACCAGCGAATGGGGCCATAATAAATTCCTTTCTTGAGTCTTGCACTCCCCCTCTTCTATTTTGTTACTTATTTCTTTTATGTCTCTCGGTCTGTCGTCCTTTTACCCTCGCGGCCTCACCCTTCTCGTGAACAGAATCTTATATCAATCTCTCATTAATTATCTCTCCCTTCGTCTATTTTGTCACTTATTCCTTTTCTGTCTTTCGACTTCGCGCCCGCCGTCCGTGACCTTCACTCTGGTGCCGCACCACTACTCACATGGTTGCCTTCTCTCTTACTCACTACTCATTCCTTTTCTATCTCTTAGTTTGTCATCCTTCAGTGAGGCCTGTTTAGTTTCTAAAAATTTTCACCCTAAACTATCATATCGAATCTTGCAGCATATGCATGGAGTATTAAATATAGATGAAAAAAAACTAATTCCACAGTTTGGTTGGAAATCACGAGACGAATGTTTTAAGACTAATTAAACCATGATTAGCCATAAGTGCTACAGTAACTAACATGCGCTAATGATGGATTAATTAGGCTTAATAAATTCATCTCGCAGTTTCTAGGCGAGCTATGTAAGTAGTTTTTTTATTAATATCCGAAAACCCCTTCCGACATCCCCGAAACATCCGATGTGACATCCAAAAAATTTCATTTCGCGAACTAAACACCGCCTGAATCAATGGTGGCACACCACTCATGTTGTCGCTTGCCCACCTAAGCTCATGCAAAGCGTATGGTTGACATTTAAGTTGAGTCAATCTTCTCCTAGTTTTTATAATGAATTAATCTTTTATTGCACATATATTTATTGTGGACCTTAAAATCTATTTTTTGTTTTAAACTCGAGCCAAGCCTAATTAAATCTAGAAAGGAAAAGTTAGCTTATTATGATTAGCATGAGAGGATTAAGTTCACTTTTGGTCCCTCAACTATTGGATTCGTCTAATTTTGACCCTCAATTACAAAACCATCTAATGCTGATACCCTAAATGTCAAAACTATTCACTTTTAGCACTTGGGTGAGGGCAATGCTGTTTTGTCCAACGTGGAGCGTTTTGACCACGCCACGCTGGCGCTGACAGTGCCACGCTGGCCCCTCTTTCCTCCCCGTCACCAGCGGCGAGCAGGCTACGATGGCGGTGCGCGTGCGGGCTGCGGCGCCGATGCACAGGCAGGGCGGTGGTGCTCGAGCAAGTTGCGGCGGCGGCGCCCAAGCAGCACGGCAGCATGCGAGCAGGCTACGACAGCTATCGCTCCCCTGCGTCGTAGTCGAACTCGCCGCGGACACCGCCTCCCTGCGCCGCAGCCGAGCACGCCAGTTCGGCCAAGCCCTAAAGCTCGCGGTGCGCCCGTCGCCGGCTCGCTGTGCGGCACAACGGCCATGGCATCGCCGCGGCCTCGTCCGTCTGCGCGCGTGGCTGGGACACCGCCGCATTCCAAGCCGAGCCCTCTCCGCCCTAGTCACGCTCTCCTCCATGTTCCCCTCTCCCTACCGCACCCGACGCGCCTCTCCGCGGCGCGAGCGCGGGCACAGGCAGTAGGGCCACCGGCCACCTGCCGCGAGCGCTGGCTTTGCGTGCAAATACGGCGACGGGAAGGCACGGACGTCTCTCTTCCCCTCTCAAATTCACGATGTTTCCAATCTCTCTCCAATTCCTCACCACCTTAGGAGCCTTGGGTCTTGAGCTCGCTGTTGGGCGTGATACCATCAGGGATCATCCTTGATTAAGCTTACTCGAGCCATTCTCGTCGCCGGTGGCCGCCATTGTCACCGAGCTCAAGCTCCGCCACAACCAACCCCATCTCGCCCACTCTCTTTGCTACCTTCGCTTCATTTCTGTGTCACCACAACCTCTCGGGCGTCCTCTGTGTATAGGTTTCGTAGAGCTCCACTGGTTCGCCGAGAACGCTGATGCCGCCCCAGTTCGTCGGCTGCCTTGCCACCGCCCCCGTGGCTAGCACTACTCCACTGAAAGCTCTTGTAACAGAACCGACCAATTATACAAAATTAAGTAAGAAAATCATCCGCCAGAGCAGACGATTGAGCAAACTTAAGCCCGTATAACCCGGTAGTCCGTGAAATCACGAAGGATTTCAATCCAACTTCCATTCCAGCCAAGATCGTAATAAGTTTAGCGGTCACCATCACATATTACATAAAAGTTCGCAATCTCAGGTACATCAGAGTTTAAACATAGTTATTACAAAACCAGTTCGAATAAAAGTAGCGGAAGCCAATTGTTCAACCACACACACTCACGCGGAGTTCAAATATAGTGCCAGCGAATGATCATCTCCAACAAAAGCATTAGACGAGACGTAAGGAATGACCATGCCCATGGTCCTAAGCATCACCCATCGCAGGATAAAGGCAGTTGATACAATAGCCGTAATACATCTGCCCATCTGCAACAAGTGGGAATAAAACCCTGAGTACGAGAAGGTACTCAGCTAGACTTACCCGACATAACCGAAAATAAATGACACCAAGGATTATGAAGGCTTTATAGTAGGGTAGCTGACTCATTTGCAAAAGAAGCATTTTTAGCATTTCAAGAACCCTTCTAAAAGCATTATTGTCAAGTTAATTATTATTAACCTGTCGACTAGATTTGCACCTATACTAGAGTAAACATGTGATTAAGCAGATAATGATAACCACTGATCATTAAACAACTTCCATCTTGTCATATTCACTATAAGCGTCCAAGTGTTCCATAAACATTTACTACGATGAAGTCACTCAAGTCAAGTGCTCACTATCCGGGAGGCGATGGCGATTCAATCGATTCCTAACCAAATGGTGATTTATTCCTTACAAAACCTCACTCACCCGCTAAAGTGAGATATTGATCACCGAGTCAACTTTCCGGTATCTCGAGTTTGCCAGAACCACATGTACCCGGGGCCGACCGATTTGCACTTTGGTCTTATCATCCCGCCCGTGTCCTACCACACTGCTCCCGCCTGACAAGGTCTGGCTGCGGGCAATCTACTCGGCCGAAAAATCTCCCGGCTTTCATGGTCGAAAGGTACTTTATCCGGCCCCACTAAATGTAAGGCATCGTTCAACATGACTCGAGGCCCAACAACGGTCGGTCCTTAATCGACACCTGAGACGAAACACTACACCAAAACTCGCAAATCTCCGTCCGGTCTCAACTTCATTTAACACTTAGTTATATCATGACTTCATAGTCATCAAAGTAGATCCGGTAACCACCTATAGCTCGTGGTGACAGAAATCACCCGACTTCTACCGGTCTAAGCCCGACTAAGCATTGACTCGATTGCGGATACCGTGGGCAACAAGGATATAGTATAACAAAGGTAAACAAGGTATAATGCAAAGAACGGGTTGCAAACAACTCCTGAACGTAATGCATCAATTTAAAGTAAAGCATTTAATGAAATCATTGCAAACCGGGAGAAAGATGCTTGGGGCTTGCCTCTCTCGAAGGAGCTCGGACGGTGATCGGGGCACTCGGAAGTTCCTCAACGTCCTCCTCGTCGGCTTCGGCACTTCTTCTGCGGCTGCACCTCGAACTGCTCCTCGGGCTCCTCGGGAATGATGACTGGGTTCTCGGTTTGCGATCCTGTATGATGCAATGCGTGTAAGTGCCTATGCAATCGGTGCATCGGATGAGATGAATACAATGGATATGTTCGAATGCAAGGTAGTCACATCATCCAAGAAAATATGCCACAAACACATGTCATCTACTGCATTCTCTTCTACTACTAATAGGTTAAGTCAACACATCTTATCAAATGCTTCAAAGATACACCAAAGCTAACATTATTAACTAACTTGCATTAAAGAGGATTATTTTATTTCATTTGAAACTAGGGCTACAACAGCAACCTATATTTCTGGTGCTTATAAAAATCTAAGAAAATTACAGTAGCATAGTAATACTCTAAGTAGACTACCATAAAATTTTC